TCCAATATGGTGGACATGGAAGGGGGGGGGGCATTTAATATTATTTGCTTTGTGATGGCTTGTTTTCTACTTTAGCACCTGCCCTCCAAAGTGTGTGTGCACGGCACAGATCCTGTGAGCACAATCAGCTCCACCCACAAAGATCCTGCAGCCGAATTTAGTTAGTTCTGTGTTACTTATTTGCCTAAAGATCCAAAAACATCTGTTTATCTGTCATGTTTAGTAGCCCTGACTAAAAATCATCATCTTTGTCTACATTTTCAACTCCCAGTTGACCTCCAACAGCAACGTTGCTGTCAGTCACCTACTGTAGAATAAATCTAAGTGAACATTTTAAATATTAAACTGCACAAGATCAGGCAACAAAGAAAAAGCAGCAACAAGGAAAATATAATAACATTCTATTTTTCAAAGTTTAGCAACACTCAATGCTGTCATGGTGTCATGATTCATCAAAGACGCATTAAACTGACGGTGGGACATCCCAGCTGAAGTTAGTGAGAACAAACTCTTCCTCTGGACTTCAGATTCCCACTTACAGTCTCTGTGGCTTTAGGAGTTTGGTCAAGGCCTGATGGGATATGCAGAGACGGTGTGTCCACGGGTGGTTCAGCGCTCCAGTGTCTGCAAGAGTCTGTCAGAGTGCATATCCAAAAGAAGCAAACAGGCCGAAACGTTCCTGAAAAGCACTCTGGTGGAAACTGCAGGGCAAAAAATCTCTTCGAGACTGAGGTAAAAACTTTTAACCAAAGAGGGAGGTTTATCTTTTTATTCAAACAGGTTTGAGGAGTTTCTTTATCTTGTTATTTTTATATTGACCCATGAACATAAACTAAGTCAGCCCACCTTAGGCTGTCTTTGCTTTGTAGACATTTGCACATACTTGAACTGCACTGTTTTGTGTTTCCAGTGAACTGAGACAAACGTTGGCTGTGACTCTGGCTGAGAGCATGGTAGAGCAGGTGCTGCAGGATCTGACAGCGGCACAGGACAAAATGGTAATTGGTGGCTTTGCTACACTGCAGTATGTTTTCCTAAATAAGGACGCCTCATTTGGTGCATCTGAAACAAAACAAACTCCTGATAAGGATGATAAAGTGACACACGGGACAAATAAGGGATGTGTCAGCATAGGTCAGGAGCTGATTAAAGAAACATTTAGGCTATTAACAATGATGCAATTTTAAACTTTCAGATCCTATACAACATTGATCACTAATAGGGGGAGGAAAGCCAGGGAGATAGCTTTTATTTTCCTTTTTTAAAGCAAAGTCAGAGTGAAGGGTGTGCTGTAGACTAGATGAAAACGAGTGGACTGATTCATACCAATTAAAACAGCAGAAAAAAAGAAGTTGTGCTGGGTTGTCTGCAGTTTAAAACAATGTGATAAAAGAGAGATATACATTTACCCGAATTATCGAAAATATCAACAGTAACAAAACAAACAGAAAATTTTAGATTAAGTTAGAATAAAATATCTCTAACAGAGGGAATTTGTAAATGAAGCATGAGACACGTCCAAGAAATAAAACTCAAAATATATCTTGAGAGGCAAACAAATAAGCTGTTTAAATGAGCTGAATCCAATTTAGTTAATCACATTAAAGAAAAGCTATTCTCTAGCAGCTAATCAAAATATACAAATAATATAGATTATGAGCTTAGGTGTATCTCCACGCTAAAAGTAACTAATTTGATGCATGGATGGAAGGATGGTAGGATGGAAATGATTAAAACATGTATTTCAATTTAAACAGACTATTTTAACAATGTATCAAAGGTTGTAGCCTACTCATACTTGTATTCATACTCAGGTTTTCCCCAATTAAGTTTAAAGCATCAAGCAAAAGCCTCAGATCACATCAAGTTAGTTTAGCCCCACATTAGTCTTTGGGTTTTATATAGATTTGTGGGAAGCTGCTCCACATACCAAAGCTGCTATACAAAGAGAATCCATGGTCTTGAACTGGCATCAATCTTTATTATAAGCTGTACTGAAAATCCATCCCTAAACATTTTGAAAAATTCAGATTAGGAGAACGTGCAGGATGTTCCTAAAGAAGAATGTTGTTTTGTTTGGTTCTCATTTATCAAATGGAGGTTATGATCTGTAGTTTTGTCTTTTAGAAGAGACGAGTGTCCTAATATATCAGGGAAAAAACTGATCAAGCATACCTAATGCAACATCTTCCCATAACCAGCTGAGTCTTCTTCTCAAGACCAAAACTGAAGCTTCATTTATCTGTTAAAGATAAAAGCTGCCATATAATAATGGAGCATCCACTATGGTGCTACATAAAATAAATCTGCATCTGGATCCCCTTGCCGTTTCAGAAATACAATAGTCCATCCATTTTTTCCCGCTTATTCCATCGGGGTCGCAGTGGGACTGGTGCCCATCTCTGGATGTCTATAGACAAGAGGTGGGGTACACCCTGGACAGGTCGCCAGTCTGTCGCAAGGCAACACAGAGACAGACATAGACATACAACCGTGCACACAAAGACTCCCACAATTTAGAGAAGCCAATTAACATAGCACACATGTTTTTGGACTGTGGGAGGAGGCCGGCGTACCCGGAGAGAACCCACAGGACTATCCAGACTTTTTTGTTCACTATATAAACTTTTATAACCTTTCAGTTAGAAGTTTTTGCTTAGACGTCGTTTAAAGACGTTTGCTTCAATGCTGCTCTTCTTCCAATAATACCTTAGTTTAGTCTCAGTATCTGTTTGATTAGTGCCCAAACTGCAGATGTGTCAAGTAACGAAGTACAAATACTTCGTTACTTACTTAAGTACACTTTTTAGGTATCTATACTTTACTCCATTACTTATTTTTCTTCCTATTTCTGACTTCTACTGATTACATTTTCACACAGTATCTGTACTTTCTATTCCTTACATTTTTAAAACAGTTGTTACTCGTTACTGTTGGCTTCGGTTTAATGCAGAGGTCACGGATTAGTGGACCGCGGTCCGGTGTTATGCCGAAAAGTGCATGCATGCAGAGATATGCATTCCCAGTGGCGGGAGCGTGCCTCTCTCTGTGCAACAGAGACTATTGATGAGGAAAACGGATTAAAATATGACCAATGGAGCTACTTGTTGTTATATTAATGATATAAAAACCTTTAAATATTCCTGAATATTCAGTTTCCGTTTTTTTCTCAGAATAGAATATTATAATAATCATAAATTAAAGCTGTTTCTTCAGCATGCTGTTAATCTGGACTGAACTTTTTTATTGCAGGTCAGTATTCAGTTTTATAAATTAAAAACTCTCCTTCTTCATGTTTAGGACTGCCTAATTAGTGAAAATTCATCCAGTGCTNCTTTTTTATTGCAGGTCAGTATTCAGTTTTATAAATTAAAAACTCTCCTTCTTCATGTTTAGGACTGCCTAATTAGTGAAAATTCATCCAGTGCTCAGAGAATCAACATCCCAGAGCTCCGACTGACTGACAGTGATTTCCCAACCGATGATGTGAGACAAACACCACACCTTTCAACCTTGTGATGATCAGTCCTGAAAACATAAGCGAATAAGATTCATTTGAATTTTGATCAGTTTTATTCTTCTCTCCTTCTACAGTACAGTCCAGCCTTCTGGAGGAACGGTTTGCTTTCTCAGAGCTTGAGGCCGGCCGCTTCCATCAAAAGTAAGACATGACCGCTGTTAACGAGAGAGGAGAGAACAACTTCCTGACACTTTCACTGACACTTGTTATCAGTGCTGGAAAGTACATTTGCATTATTATGTCGTTGGGAAAAAGCATTCAACTATTCACCCCGGTTAAATAAACCTAGATCGTTGGATTTCACTCAGTCGGCAATTTATTCTTCATATCTTTGCAAAGAGAGAACAGTTCATCATACGGCCCTTATTGCACGGTAACCAGCCCTGTTCTGCCTGAGCAGCGTTCGTTCCTCCTTACCTACAATAATGGAAAGTAGTCAGAGTCAAAACAAATTACAGACACTTTGGTTAAACAGTAACAGAAAGACTCTGGTTTGTTATGAGAAGAAGGTATGTCTGGTCTACAAACACCCCTCAATCAGGGGAAATTGTGTGGCCTTGCAGGTGAAACAAGCTGAGTGAAAAACTTATATAGTGAGTAAATAGGATAAATCAATGTATGAAATGAGAGAAATCTAAATTTTACTTAAGTACTGTATGAGTATCTTTACTTAAGTCTGGGGCTTTTTAATTTTTAGCTTTTTAATCCACTGTTGCTGTTTTCCTTTCTAGAAATGCAATCATGGAAGATATAAGCCCTTAGACTGAATCTGGACGCCACTGATTTGCAGATTTAATGACATTCCACAGAGCAGATATTATTAGTTATTTATAATTTTATGAAGGTGTTAGTTGTTGCCATTTGGCCAAGTTGTTCAGTAGGATGAGTCTCAAAGCAAAGCTGTAGTGTGAGGACAATCTAGACTTTCCTGGGTTTTCTGGTTTGTTTTGAAAAAAGGAAATAATCCAATTTCTGTCCTAATTTTATGTGTCATTTTTATACTGAAGTTCTTTCCAGGTGGTGTAGAATCTATAGCAGGTAGTTCTACGCATCAATACATGAGGTGGTTTCTGAAAGTTCCAGGTTCTTTAAAATTACTCTGAAAATTAGACAGAAATGTCCTGATATTAGAAAATTCAAGTACTTTCAAAAGTGAGTACTTGAATACTTGAGATGTTTGACTGAGTAACTTATATTTGTAGATGAGTAAGATTTGATTAAGGGTATCAATACTTTTACTCAAGTACTGTAGTTTAGTACCTCGTCCAGTACTGCATGTTATATTCCCAGTTTGTAACTGGTCTCCATCTGTCCGTTGTTGTTGTG